CTACCACTCATGCGGGAGACACATATGAAGTTCTAGGCTCCTGGCTTTGGTTTGGCCTATCCCAGGCCTTTGTGAACAAATGTGGAGCGAATAATTAGATGGAAGTTCTCTCCCCCTCTGTCTCTCCTTTCTTCTCTGCAACTCTGCATTTTAAATTAATACATCTTTAAAAAATAACAGTTGAAACAGAGAGGAAAAATCTTGCAATCCATAAGGGCTGGGGTGGTATTTTAGCAGGTTAAACTGTCTACTGAGATATTGGCACTCCATGGTAGGTAAGTCTACTGATTGTAGACCTGGCTGTTCCAGTTCTGATCCAGTCCCCTGCTAATGTGACCAGGGAAGCAGAGGAAGATGGTTCAAATCCTTGGGTCCCTGAACCAACATTGGAGACCTAATGGAGTTCCAGGCTCCCCTTTAGCCTGGTCCAGCTCTGTGGGCATTTGGGGTATGAAACAACAAAACACAGATCTAATGGTCTTTGTCTCTGTTTCCATAATTTTGTCTTTCAAGCAAATAAATAAATCTTAAAAAAAAATAAGAATCAATGGAAGGAATTATATTTGGTCTATGACCTTCAAAAAATTTTGGCAAAGCAAGGCAAAACTCACTTACTGTACTTAACAATGTAGGCAACTGAAAATCGTAAGCTCATATATATTCAGTAACCTTTGCAAGGGAAACAAAGGAGTCAGGAAAGTGTGACTGCCTTCCTGTGCCTATACCAATGAAGTAAAACTTGTATTTGTTTTCCTTCTATTGATATAAAAATTAAAAACATTAGAATCTGACATTTAAAAATAAAGGGTTTTATTATTTGGTACAAATTTCATCAAGATTGTTTCCCATGGGGCCGGGGTGGTGGCCTAGTGCCTAAAGTCCTCACCTTGAACGTGCCAGGATCCCATATGGGCACCAGTTCTAATCCTCGCAACCCTGCTTCCCGTCTAGCTCCCTGCTTGTGGCCTGGGAAAGTTACGGAGGATGACCTAAAACTTTGGGATACTGCACCCCCCTGGGAGACCCGGAAGAAATATTTCGTTCCTGGCTTTGGATTAGAGCAGCTCTGGCCATTTTGGTCACTTGTGGACTGAATTTGTCTCTCCTCCTCTTTGTATATCTGACTTCGCAATAAAAATAAATAAATCTTTTTTTAAATATTTCCCTTGTCTAGTCATAGAATTTATGATTAAGAGTGTAAACATCTTTCCTATTTGGCAAATTCTCAGTTTTCGGCAATTCTAAGTTTGTGTCAGCTTCTAACATTTAATCCTCTTGATGTGAAGTATCCCTGAGAGCTCCCCATCCATAGCCGTTCACTGCCAGGGCCACTTCCTCTTTTCGTCATAACCACTTTGTTCCTATACAGTAAGTCATTCCCATCAATGTAATCCTAAATGGCTTGCCCAGCTTCCTTTATTAATGAGCCAGATATTTCAGCAAGGACAATTTACTTTGACAGTTAATTTTACTTGCATCCATTGTGTTTGTCTTGGAAGCTGGAGTTAGAGTGAAATCTTCCACCGATACTCACAAAGCAACCACACTTTCCTTGTGGCAACTTGCAGCCAATACTCTCTGTGAATTCTGAGTTAAAGTTCCTCCCTCTCGGTTGGGGGAACATCCCTCACCTCGGGTGAAGTCCGGATGAACAACCTGCAGAGCAACATGCCACAGCCCATCTCCTGCTTGCTCCGAAGCATGACTCTCTGGCTAGGGCTGTCCTCACCAAATCCAGGTCTTCCCCAATGTGTAGGCTCCATGAAACAACAGGGTAGCAAGAGAAATACCTGCAATCAATGGGCATATTTTATGATGAGAATATCTTGACCTTCTTTCCAAAGGCTCATGTGTGTTTCAGAAGAGTTATTTATTTCTTTAAAAGGCAAACTTAAGAGTGGGAGAGATGGGGAGCGAAAGAGAGACAGAGATCAGAGACAAACCTTCCATCTGTTAGATTACTCCCTAAATGACTATAATGGGCCTGGACTTGCCAAGCTGAACCCAGGAGCCAGGAACTCCAACCAGACCTATCATGTGAGTGGCAAGGGCCCAAGGACTTGCAGTGGCAAGAGCCATCTGCTGCTGCTTTTCCAGGCAGATCAGTGGGGATCTGGAATGGAAGTAGAGCAGCCAGGATTCAAATGGGCATCAATATGTCATGCTAGCATTTTAGGCAGTGACTTAACCCACTGTACCACAATCTTGGTCTCAGTTTCTGTGATTTTTTAAAAAAAATATATTTATTTGTTTGTTTGTTTGAAAGGCAGAGTTATATAGAGAGAAAACGACAGAGAGAGACCTTCCATCTGCTGCTTCACTCCCCAAATGGTCATGAGAGCAAGCACTGGGCCAGACTAAAGTCAGGAGACAGGAACCTCATCTTGGTGCCTCACGTGGGGACAAGGGCCGAATTACTTGGGCCATATCCTGTTCCTCTCCCAGGCACATAAGTAAGGAGCTGGATCAAAGGTAGAGCAGCCAGGAATCAGACAGGCGCTCATATGGAACTGCAATTCTGGTGTTACAGGCAGCAGCTTAACCTGCACATTGGCCTGGATTCTGCGTTCTCACACGATCATTTAGCAGCACTCTGCTGAATTTCTGGATTTGCCAAAGTTTAGAATGAAAAGACACTGTTACACAGTTGTCCTCTTATTCATGTAACAAGACACCTTAGGATACGGCATTCAGCCGAGCTTTGGGGGGATGTGAGATGATATAGCACCATGGTTGAACACAGGCAACTCAGACCACGAAAAGGGTAACTGTGGGTGAGGGGGAGCTGCTTCAGTCGCTGCTGTGTAACTGATAACACAGATGGACAGGGAGACTACACAGGTAGCCAGCTATGTTGCTAGGTCTCCTATAATAATTCAGTCTCCCAGTATCAATGTTCTCATGTTCTTTCTTGTCTTAAATTTATGTGTTTTTTTTCCTGCCATTCCTCTTAGATTCCATGCATACTTATAAATAAGATTCACAAGGTGATTTAATTAGTGTTACCAAATAGAGCCATCTACAGTTAAAACACATGTTTGCATGTTTTATTAAGCACACACAGATGTCAAAAAAAAAGGCTGCTTTCCAATGTTTTCAGAATTCCTTCAAGAGGGTTACTGTAATGAAACAGGCAGCTAAGCTGCCACAGGCAATGGGAGTACTGGTTCGATCCCAGTTCTCTGCTAATGTGCCTTGGCAGACAGTTTAAAATGGTCCAAATACCTGGGTCCCAGCTGTTCATGTGGGAAATCACCCAGGAGCTTGAGGTCCTAGAGTCAGCCTGATCCAGCCCCGGTCATTGTGGTCATTTTGAGAGTGGACATTTCTGTCTCTCTGTCTCTCTCTCACTCACTCACTCTCTTCCTGCCTTTCAGAAAACTCATATTTCTTAAAAGGAACACCCTTAGGAGCAAAATATTCCCAATTAAAAATAAGAAAGCATGAAAAATCAACTAAGAATTTCAACAAGTACAAATTATACACATAAATACACACACACCCGAAACACACATGGTGATGTGGACAGCCCTCCCTGCTACATGAGTGCCATTCCTATCAGGGGCCTGTGGGAGAAAGAGTCTGGGAAGTCAGCAGTCTACCCTAATGAGGGCCCATTGTCCAGCACGCTTACTCTCCACTTCACGCACAGACTAGGTGAATGTGTCTATATGCATTACTTGTATTGTGCCAGATACACCATGACACACATTTCAGGCTATCTGCATTTTTCATTGGCATTAAACACTATGCCAGGATTTAAGGAAACTATTCAATGATAACCAGGTCTCAAATGAAAATTTAAAATCTGAGTTACTTTAGAAATTATATCATCTAGTCCTTTATAACATTATACAACAGTGAAGCTCTTCAGATGGCTCTGCTCTTTTCCTTTTATTTTGATTTTGGTCAGAAATATCAGTCATACATATAAAATATTTCTGATCCTGGGCAGGCATTATGGCACACTGGGATAAGCCACTGCCTATGACACCGGCATCCCACATGGATATCACTTAGAGACCCAGCTGCTGCTGCTGCTGCTGCTGCTGCTGCTGCTTCTTTAGCTTCCTGCAAATGCTTCTTGGAAAGCTCCAGAAGATGGCCCAAACACATGGGCCCCTGCCACCCACATGGAAAATCTGGAGGGTGTTGCAGGTTCTGATTTCGTTCTGGTCCAGCACTGGCCTTCAGGGTTCTTTGGGAAGTGAACGAATGGTTGGATGATTGCTATTTCTTTCTTTCTGTATCTCTCCTTCTATCTCTGTAACTCTTTCAAACAAATAAATTCACTAAAAAAAAATGGTTCAAATCTGACAGCATCTCCACTGGCTTTACTGTATTCATGCTTTCAAAGACATGAGAGATTCCTAGGCTACACTGAAGGACTAAGCGAAGGGAAGCGACTGATAAAAGAGCAGAAATAAAATCGGGTTAGGTGCCAGACATCTAGAAGCATTCACATCTTGAATCTGAATTTCATTACCTGTAGAGAATTCATTAGGTTAGAATTATTATTTTTCCCTCACTAATGTCTGTTGACTATTTTACATCTTTTATTAGCCATAGAAATTTTAGCTTCTCTCCTCTTCCTCATCCTCTTTTAAACGCAAGTGAAAGATGTCAGCTTTAATTTTTGATATAGTTGTCTAGATATAAAATATAATTAGAGGTAGCAACATACTCAGAGATGCCTTTTGGTTCCAACAATGAATGGCTGAGTAACCAAAATATTTGGGTCACATAAGACCACATAAATAATTCCATAAAAATGCAATAACAAATTCAATCTTGAAGCCAAACATTAGCAATATAATTAGAGGAAAAAGAGGAAGAAAGGCAAGGGGAAAGAGAAGGGGGAGAAGTGAGAGAATATGTTAAGTATGACCTAAGAAATGCTAATTAATAATAACCCCATCAAATAGAAAGTTTACCTTTGCACTACCAAAGCATGTGAGGTAGAGCCTTTCCTCCTTCATTCACTTAGCAAAGGAAATCACCTTCAAAGTCCACATCTCCAACTAACTTTGTCTTCCTTTGTCACTGGGTCATGGACAGAGTTGATACCCACATCAATTGCAGCAGCACCTTCTTTAATCATATCAGATGTAATCAACTTGGGGACACCTGAAACAAAGCAATGAGACACTTTGAATAACACTCCAACAAGCTCTTTCCTTATGTATAACAGGGGAGTATACAGCTAATAGTGCTGCAGCATCCTGTACTTCATGTACTATGCAGAATGCTGACAGTTGGTTGACATGTTACCAGGCCCATGCTGAGCTGAAATGGAATGGAGTAAAAGTTAGAAATGGGAGGCAAAGACAAGGAAGCAAGAGACCCTGCAAGGGTAGCGGTGATGAGGACAATCATAGCTGCTATTCTCCAAAGTTCTACAGTACACAGGACAGTGACACATACACATAGCATCATGAACCCCAGTATGTGGAGTGATATCTCCAGCTTTTTTATCAACCTGGGTTTCTTTGATTCATATTTTTGTGACTCTGAACGGTGGAAGGTACAGTAAGCTGTCCTCACTGTTGCTTCATTCCAGTTTAAAAGACAGATTTACAGCAAGGTGGGCATATGGCATTAATGAGTAAAACACTGATGGCCCAAACCCGAGTGTTGCATTCAATTAGGTTCGAGATAAAGACTAATGAAGACCTCAGAAGTTCATGGTGATGGCTCAAATAACTGACTGGCTGCCACTATGGGAAAAACTTGGATTCAGTCCTGGCTTCCACCCAGAACATTTATTTGAAAGAATCAGTATGTGTGAGTGCTCTGTCTGCCTCTTCACTCCCTCCTTCTTTGTTTTTCTGCCTCTCAAAAAAGTCAGATTAAAGAATTATGTATTTCCCATTTTCAAATTTTGTTTACAAGTACAGAAAGTCAGAAAATAGTGGCAAGTATTCCAGTTATTAAGTGAATGTTCATTAAACCATCCTAAAACAGTGCAGTTACACAACAATTTGTGAATAGTATGCTTCATGTTCCTATGTGTTGGCTGAGCTCAGTTGGATGGATCTGTTTTGTGGTCTTTCAAGTAATTGGAGTCAGATGGTGTCAGAGGCTGGGGCCAAACTTCAGATGAGGTAAGACTGAGAGTCCAAAACGCTCATTCTTGTGGCAGCATTTGATGCCTGCCACTGGCTAGAAGCTCAGTCAGGACTGTGACCTGGACAGATCCAAGAGACAAGCAGAAGTGCCTCTCCCTTCAGGCTGGAAGGAAGAATCAAGCACACCACTTCTGTCATATGTGATTGCTCGGGCCGTGGCAGTCCACTCAGGTTCAAGAGGCGGAATCTAGACCGTTATAGGGAGAAGAACATTTGTTGACATCTTTACCACAATGGCCTCTGGCTGAAATTTCTCAGTTTCACAAGCTACCTCCCTTTCAAGAAAAATCTACCTTTTGTGTTGTCAGAGGAACTTCTTATAGCATATGAACTATCCATTTAATCATTCTAGATGGCTTAAATGTCACCTTGTGACATATGCTTGTACTTCAAAAACTTCCTGAGAAATAGAATTAGTGTATATAAATGCAAATACTTTAAAAACCCATTTAAATGTATGATTTGTGTGTGTGTGTGAGTGTAAGTTTTTAAATGCTATAAACAAATGGTCAGTGTCAACGTAAATATCCCATAGTAGGTTCCTTAGACACATGATGTGTATGTTTATGTTTGGTTATCACTGATAAAGAATTTTGGGCTGTTTTTCAACTCTAACATAGAACCTATGTATTGCTCCAAGGACAGGTGGAAAATCCTGTTCCTCCTTGTCTTCCAACAGAAAGAGAAACGCACATGAGATATATTTGCAGGATTTGTTTAAAGATGAAAATGTTGGGGTTGCCACTTTCATTGCCACACGGCACAATGGAACGCTGGTTCACGGTTCTGGTTGCATCACTTCTGGTCCAGCTTCCGCTCATGTGCCAAGTGCTTGAGTTCCTGATGGCATTTGAGAAACACAGTTCTTGGCTCCTGGCTTTGACCTGGCCTAGCCCTAACTGTTGCAACCACCTGACAAATAATTCAGAGAAGATGGAATAGCTTTCCCTCAATCTCTGGTGTTCTGTCTTTCAAATTAGTAAGTAGATACTTTGTAGAAAGATAGAAACATTCCTGGATACTGACTGAAACCAATTCCCATGCTAATGCAAGGATCTCAATCTGCTTTTGATTTACTATAGTAGAGAATTTCAGACCTACAATGAAGACAGGCCTTCAAAATAGAAGGATATAAGAGATTAATATTTTTCTACCAGGAAAATTACAAAATGGAAAAAGCACAGTGTGGCAATTTTAGTTTGTTTTTTTTTTTTCTGATGATGACATGATATATATGTTCACTGCAGAAAATTTGGATAATATCCCAAAGTATAAAGCGAAAATTTTAAAAAGCTGCTTTCTTACTCTCCAAAGAAAATATGTGTTAGCAGTATATTTCCTTTGAGGACTTCAAAATATTTCCATATTAGGTAAAAATATGATGCCTTATTTTGTTTATTTTGTGGCACAATGAATCTTATCACATTCTCATAAATTATAAGTATTTTCCTATTTCATTAGTTATCTGAAACCCTGAAATAATTTATCACATGAATTATTAGTTATTCATTTCTGCATTATTTACAATGTTCTGTTATAAATAATGCAGTGATGATCATTTATATTCAGAAAGTGGCAGATATCTTAATTGCATCATTAAGTTGGCAGATTTTTCCATTGAGTTCTTCGTGACATAATGAAAAATATAGGTTAAATAAAATCACTTATTACCTGTCTCTGCAAAATTGCTCTATTCCAGAGACTAATATAGATAGGAATGACTACAACAGATCTAGAATTTATGTCATACAGAGCAGTGCTACCAAAGCAGTTGGTCTAACTGTGTATTATCATTAGTATATAAGAAAGTAGAAAAGTTAGTGCCACAATGTAAGTCAACTATTCCCCTAAACACATCATTTCATTCAGTTAACTTTATTTTTTATGGCATAACTTTTTCAATGAAGGAGGAAGTATGTTGCCTTGTATGAGGATATTTTAAAACATTTATGTGCAAGTGTAATCAAGAGGTAAGTCTGTTTTGTAAAAAAAAATGAAATCAATGTATAATTTTTTGATGAAACACACTTTTCAGGAACTTTAATAAGACAGTCCATAGTTTGGTGCAAGCTTCCTATGTTGCTGTTGACCCATTTTATATAGTACTCACAAGATAAAACATAGTTATAGCCAAGAACCAGTGTACTGACCATACACCGAATACTTCTGAAATAGAAAAGCAGTTCAAGTTTCCTGTTTCAGAGAATAATAATAATAATAATAAAAACTCCTAACCTAAACTGAGCAGGAAGTATAATTGTACCTTCAGTGTCCAAATGAACAACACTCTACACAGTTTCAGAGGGAATGAAAGAAGGAACACAAGGGAATGGAGTATATTTCAGTTCCATTTAAAGATTTCAAGAATAATCAATATGCCACAAAGAGCAAATGTATACTCTCTCCATCCTTTATTATAAAAATTCAGAATTAGGGAAACAAGAGGTTGAACTGGGAAAGTTGCTTGTAGGGGAACATATTCCTCCCACAGCCTTGACAGACTGCATTTTCTCCTCCCTCCTGCAATCCCCATCAGCTACCAAGAATGGGATATCCTGAACTAAGGAGAAAGCGTGTATAGAACCACCTAGGCTATGTCCTTATTTCTCCTAGAACAGAATGTTCTGTGCCACTTAAACTCAACAAGTGGCGGCTGGTGTGTGGGCACCTTCTGCTGTGGCTGAACGAGTCATGCGCAGATGAGACGGCCTCCTCCCTGTGCAGCCTCCCTGGGCCTCAGAAGACGGCCTGCCATGGATCCTTGGCCACTGTTTACTCCCACTGCCTTTCTGTGAGTAATAGATCTGATTGTTCTGTCTCTCTGGGCTGCCTTTAGCTCTTCACTGTGGTCCTCACAGAGTTAGGGTTGCAACAGTAGTTGTGTATGCATGGAGTTTACACTAGATCTTAAAAAATTGCTTGAATGATATGCATTCTATGATTCAAATACATACCTTCATCTTCTCAAATTAAAACTTTTCCTTCTTTTGCATTTCTTATGTTTTGTTTACTTTTGAACCTGCCATTATACTTATTAAAAAGAGATAGAAAATAGATATGGCATTTTAGTAATTAAAATTTTTACAGAAAGACATATAAGAATCTCCATTTTGGGTATGATAAAATTCTAAAATCTGCCTTTCCATTTTGTCAAGCCAAAGAATTGGAAATTCAAGGTTGTTCAATAATTGCACTTTTTAAACTTTTGAAGTTTTTAAAAATTTTTTAAAGATTTACTTACTTTTATTGGAGAGTCAGATACAGAAAGGAGGAGAGACAGAGAGGAAGATCTTCCATCTGCTGACCCACTCCCCAAGTGGCTGCAAGCACTGGAGCTGAGCTCACCCGAAGCCAGGAGCCAGGAGCTTTTTCCAAGTATCACACGCAGGTGCAGGGTCCCAAAGCTTAGGGATGTCCTGACTGCTTTCCCAGGCTACAAACAGGGAGATGGATAGGAACCAGTGCCCACATGGGATCCCGGCACATGCAAGACAAAGACCTTAGCTGCTAGGCCACTGTGCCAGGCCCCAATGACTGTGCTTTTTAAGAAACCAAAATTTCTCAGACATGCTATTTCATTGTCCAAGCGCACAAATGCAATGTAAATTACTGCCCCGTGATATAAATGAAACAGTTCTGAAAGCTACTTAAAATATTGCATAAAAAAAACCAAACATGCTATTGAATGTGAAATCAGATTTTTTAGCTTTGCTTTTTGCAAGAGTTGAAGATACATGATTTCAAGTGAGTAATTTCTGTTATTTGTTTCTTTTTTTCTATTTCAAATTTTTGGAATCCTACCCTAAATGCTTACATAACTTGAAGGTTCAAGCATTATATGTGAGAAAAGAAACCACCTCTACCCAAATGGCTTACCGTAAACAGTAGCACGGCTTTCCTATTCCACTGTCTTTATAAAAATGATTCTATTATTCCAATAAACAATTCATCAAAACAGTAAAAGCTTCGTGTTATTTTGTCTCATGAACTTATTGAAAACCTCATTTA